TTCTCTTCCCCATTTAATGGATTTGGGGCCCTTATCAAAGATCAGCTGACTATAGGTCGATGGATCTATATCTGGGTTCTCAATTCTATTCCATTGTTGACCTCTGCTTTTAAAAAATATATATGTATCTGTGTTATGAAAGAGAGAAGGAATTGGGAACTGTCCCAAATTAAAGGAGACAAGGGTAGAGGATCAGCGAAAAAGAAGACCCTCAATGAGATGGACTGACACAGTAGGTGGAACAAGTGGCTCAAACATAGCAAGGACTATGAGGATGGCACAGGACGGGCAATATTTCATTCTGTTGGACATAGGGTCACTATGAGTCAGACCCGACTCCATCTCACCTAATAACAGGAAGACATGGAGATGAGGGCAGTGGTAATTCAGTGTTAGAATTCTCACATGTGGGAGATCCAGGTTGACTCCCAGCCAATGAACCTCAAGCACAGCCAACATTAGTCTGTCAGTGGAGGCTTGCATGTTGTTATGATGCTATGTTCAGCCTAGCTTCCACACTAAGACAGACTAGGAAGAAAGATGTGGTGATCTACTTCCAAAAAACCAGTCAATGAAAACCCTACGGATCACCAAAGCCATGGTCTGATCCTATTGTGCTTGAGTCACCATGAGTGTAGGCCTACTCAATGACAGCTAGCAATGGCAACTATGGTGAGATATGACAACTGAATCCAACACATGATCCAGGATTTTCTTTTGCTGACATTATTGGGACAATTAGCGAAATCTAGATAAGGTCTGTGGATTAGTAAATAGTACTTTATCAATATTTATTAAGTGTATTATGGTTATATGAGAGAATTTCCTTGAAGGATAAATTATGTATCATTAAGTCTGCATGAAAAAATAAAATAATATGGATATGTATATTTAGAGAGACAAGGATAAAGAAAATATGGTAAAATGTTATGGAATCTGGGTGAAAGGTATACAAGAAATTCTATGTACTATTCTTACAACTGAAAGTTTGAAATTATATCAGACTAAGTTGTTTTAAATGTCCATCAATGAGGTACAGTCTAGGGAAAAAAAAAACGGTGCCATTCAAGTCAATTCTAACTCATAGCAACCCTATAAGACAGAGTAGAACTTCCCCATAGAGTCTCCAAAGGTAAAATATTTATGAAAGCAGACTGCCACATCTTTCTTCTGCGGAGAGGCTGGTGAATTCAAACCACCTACCTTTTGGTTAGCATATCAGTGCTCAACCACTGCACCAGCAGGGCTCCTTACATAAACTCTTAAGTGGTACAAAGTCATCAGTTCTATCAGGCTGTTCTGACCAGGATTTTGAAATTGTGTACTTCACCTCAATCCAAATTCCCTAACAATTTCCTACTCCCCACCGTTCTATTTCACCCCTGCCCCCTGATGTACCACCTCAATTCAAATCTTCTAGTTCTGGAATAACAAAGAGAAATTCTGCTCCAAAACCAGGCTTTAATGTTGCTTTCCTTGAGACAAACAACTCTTAAACCTTCTTTAAATTACTTAAACATTATTTAAATTACTTGAACATTGTTTAAATTAATAAATAGTTCAGTGGGAAAGAAAGCTGTTTTGTTGTCTTGACTTTATATGTTGTTACTTGAGTTTATATGTTGGCCCTCGACTGAGTGGTTCTCATTGGCTGATTTTTCAAAAGTCGATCACCAGGCCTGTCTTCCTAGACTGTCTTAGTCTGGAAGCTCCACTGAAACCTGAACAGCATCACAGCAACACAAGCCACCAATGACAGAGAAGTGAGTGGTGGATTGCCATGAGGTACATTGGATGGGAATCCTGAGTGTCTTTCATAGAAGGTGGGAATTCTACTAAACAACCAAGAACCTCATTCAGTTTATATGGTTGCTTTTATTTTCTCAGGTCTATTTTTCCTTTAAGAGCTCTGGTAGCATAGTATCTAAGGCACTTGACTGCTAACCAGAA